ATCTTGCATAACCCTATTGAGCCTCCCCTAATACACGATTAAAGGCATACCCTATAAGTGCAATCAGAGAATATCATTACAGGGTTTTACATAATGAACCACCCTATAGCCGCTGATATGTACAGTCTAGTCACGTGCGTTTAGTCACACTGCCACGCGCTTACGTCTCACAACTTTCAAAAGAAGGAATCATGGCAATGATGCAGCAGCCAATTGTTCCTCGTAGTACAACGACACTTCAGTTTGAAAACGAAAGGGTAACAATCCAACATGAACTGGGCAGGGGAGCGTTTGGTGTTGTCTACAGAGTACAAGACGTGGCAACATTCAATTTATACGCGTTGAAAGCAATCCCTTGTGTCAATGCTTTGGCTCTTCAGGAAGCGGTCCGCGAGGCCGAGATGTTGCGAGAAATCTCGCACCCAAACATTATCTCCTTACGGGGAACAAAGCAAGTCCTTGATGCTCAGGGCCAGCTATACATGTTCCTTTTGACTGACTACTGTCCGGGAGGAAACCTCAACCAACGCCTCCCTCGATCGAGCAATGACCAAGTGAATTTGACGTGGATGAAACAAATGGCCTCAGCTGTAGCCTACCTTCATTCGCAAAACGTAGTTCACCGCGATTTGAAGCCAGATAATGTGCTCTTGACTTCGACAGAGGATGTCAAATTGGGGGATTTTGGTTTGGCTCGCGGATACATCGCACTCACACAAATCCAAGTTAATGGTCAAAATACCGAAGTGCGATACTACATGCGCTCAGAGGTTGGCACAAAATATTACATGGCGCCGGAAGTATTCAGAAGTGACGGTTACAGTGAAAAGGCAGACGTCTTTTCCCTTGGAGTGCTCCTTTACGCAATCCTCGAGCGCGATTTTATCAGAATTGATGGGAAAGCATACTACGGTGCCTTTGTCAATACTTACATGGGAAAAATTGGCCTTGGATTTGCTTTGGCAATCCAAATCCCTTTCACAGACATAACGTTTCTTGGTTATCTTTCCACTTACGGCTCTCTCCAAATGTTAATTCGACAGGCCTTAAACTACGACCCGCATAATCGACCGAGTGCTGAACAGGTTTATGAAAACCTCGCGGCCATTGAGGAAAGTTTTAACGAGGAGTGTAAAAATGAGGAGTGTAACAATGAGG